CTGGCGTGTTAATGAGGATATATTCTTTAAAGTTTGAAGGTGCCAATCAAGTTGTAATTCTCCTTTTGGCAAAGTTGTGCTTAGCAACGTTGATTTTAGTCTCAGTTTTGTCACAAAATGCTCGAGGGATTCGCACTTTGGAAAAGCGGAAAGCAATTTTTAGCTGGCTTTTAAATTCTGTAGCCGATATTTGTTTTCTGCAAGAATCCTACAGTACTCAAGAAGTCGAAAATATCTGTAGAAAACAGTGGAAAGGAAACATGTTCTTTTCGCACGGTAAGGGATAACTTTGACTTTCAGCTATAGTACGATCTATCAAGGTTGATTCTCAAGGTCGCTATGTTTTCCTAGAGGTTTCCATTCAGGACTCACCATACTTTCTTTTAAATATTTACGCTCCAAACAAATGTAGTGAACAATGTACCTTTTGAAAGAAATATCAGAAATTTTGAAAGCTGCTAGAACAGAACAGGAATACCCAGCTATCGTTGGAGGTGATTTCAACGTCATACTTGACCCTGACTTAGATGGACGGGGCGGAAACAACAAAATGAAAGACTCCACAAAATAATTAAGTTGAAGAAATGCACCTTGATTTCGAGCTGCTCGATATCTGGCGTATTAGGAACCCCACCGCATCACGATTTACTTGGCGTCAAAAAACTTCGGTTGTACAGAGGCGTCTAGATTATTGGCTTATAAGTGAGAGTTTGCAAGATGAGATAATTTCAGCGGAGATTAAAGCATCAATAAAAACAGACCATTCGGCAATAACTCTTTCAATTAACGGTTTAGATGAAACTGAGAGGGGACCGAATTTCTGGAAATTCAATTTGAACTTAGTAAATGACTCGGACTACTGTGAACTTTTAACCACTGAATATGTGAATTGGTTAGAGGAATCTTAAGAGGTTCAGGGTAAGCGTGTTTTATGGGATTTAATTAAATACAAAATGAGACAGCGAACAACCACGTACAGTAAAGGTAAAGCCCGTGAAAGAAGAGCAAAACTACAAAAGGTGGAAGATAATCTGAAGGAATGTACAGAAAAATGTGATAATGATCCAAATAGTGGAAATCTCGAGGAACTGGAGTGTCTTCAAACAGAATATGATAAAGGTACGATTACATTACACAAGGAGCCGAATCATTCGCTCTAGGGCAACCTGGTATGAAATGGGTGACTCGGAAACTTGAAACTTTAATTGCGAAAGACTGAAACCACACTTATGATGTTTCCTACAACTGACCGTGCGTCTAACTTCCATTTTTTGATTGATCCCAACACCAAAGAGGTCGGTGCAAAAATCTCTAGTCAGACTTAAATGAGCAGCAAAGGTTTGCTAGCAGAATCTAAAGTTTGTCCAGCTGTTCTGACAGCTTGTAAACACAACCGTTTCTCCCATAATTAAAAAAAAGATATTTGACATATAGTGGAAATTTTGATTTCCGAACCGACCTAAAAACAAACTTATTTATATATTATATATTACTGAATAAAGTTAAAATGCCCAACACCGAAATAAATAGAAAGAAACTGAATAAGTATAAATGATTACGAAGAGAAGCGCATACAATAAAACAGACTGAGCAAAAATGTACCCTAACAATTTCGGCGTCGACTGGGGTTATCACTTTAAAGGGAACCTCCACTTCAACAAAAAGATAACTTTAAATCACAGGAAATAACTGTTACAGTCAAGTCAATCTAAAATATTTTTAAAGAAAGCGTTTGTATCCGAAAGAAATAACTTTTAGATTCGCCTATTTTTGTTTTCAAATTTTGCGGGCGTCGCCATCTTGAATAATTGTGACGTGTAATGGTTGCCCTATTGTTATTAAACAAAAGCTCTTTGTGTCAGAACAATAGAGCAACCGTAACACGTCACAATTATTCAAGATGGCGAAAGTGAAAATAAGCGATTTTAAAATTCACTTTTCCTGATATAAACACTTTTTTAAGACAAATTTCGAACAAATTTGTTTATCAACATAATTTTATTCGACTTAAACTTATTCTGTAGTAAGAGTGGAGGTTCCCTTTAAGGGTTGAGAATCATTTCGGGGTAGGGATCATTTCATTTCATTTCACTTTTAATGGAAATTTTCACTTTAGACTGATAAGCTGTAACGATTGACCTAAGTTTAGTCTGACTAATCTACGTACCTTATAAGGCAGTCAGAAGTTAACTGTGTAACCTATGCCTCGTGCACACTGGCTCCTTAAGAATTTATCTCCTCTTCATTTCTTGTCTAATTTCCAAGCAATCTCGAGTTAACACTTTAAGAGTGACTTGTCTTTCGATTTCATAAACTGCTGTCACTGCCCGCCACGATTAGCGTGTACCATTTGCGGGCCGTGACAATCATGTAAGGTCAATTAATTAAAGTTAGGTTAATACGTTGATTCCAATTTGTAATCCGCTCAGACGTGCTAATATATCAAGGTCGTTGTTATTATTGTTGTTATAACATTTTAGATGTTATCAAAAACGGTTTCACTCCGTTGTTGCAAGACACACAGGCTAAGCAAGAAGACTGTCACCATTGTAACCCTGTTGGTTGCTGTTGTGATCTACATTGGTGCTAGTTTGGTGGATGTGGACGGATATACAGGAAACAAGTTCTGGAGGCCCGTTACTCCTTGCTTCAAGTCCAAGCAACATACCGCTCGCTTGATAGAACTCGCCCACAAGACACATTTAGTTTTAGACAGTATGGGAGTTGACCATTGGTTGATGTACGGATCCCTGTGGGGTCCCCTGAGGGGCATACCAGGCCCCCTTCCATGGGATCACGACGTTGATATTGGCATAGACGGGAATGGCAATTTTAAAAAGATACCCCTTGAAAAATTCAAAGCGAAATTTGAGGCTGCCGGTTTGGGACTTGTAGATAAACTTCAAGAGAGTAGATATTTATCAGTCAAAGGATACGGCGAAAGTGCAGGATTATTTCTTTATTATAATTATCGAGGCACTATGATGCGATCTGGTTATGAGTCGTGGATATTTTTCATTCACTACAGATTCCGCCATAGTTTTCCCGCCAAACTTTTACAGCACCCGCTGCCCAAGGTCAAATTTGGCTCCTTTAACATTTCTGTTCCAAGAGGGGGTATAGAGATAATGAAGCATTTATACCCCACTAATTGGTGGAAGGTGGTCAAGCCAAAGAGCTGTAAAGATTAGTGATAAAATCAGATCCAATATTGCACTACAAATTTCTGAGCCAGCCTAGGCACTACTTTACGCGGTCAAATAGTCTTGAGTATGTGGTCCCAGTAGAGTCTCGAGCTTTTAGTTTATCCTCACTTTTCTTTTAGCCCCTAAAGGTTTGTTTTCAAACCGAAATATTGGGCAAGCTGGTATATATATTTTGTTTTATTCTTTTGTTTACTTCTCCATCGCCTTGCCGTAAGAATCAGTTTTTATGATTTTCTATTTCTATACATCACCGAAATGTACAACCGTGAGGACTTGGGAATATCCCCTCTAGAAGGGTACTAGGCATGCGCTGTCATAGAAGTGCAAAATTGCCGTAGTAGTCGAATATATTGTATGATAATACCAAAAAAAAATGGGAATTTGTTTATCTTATTTTCTGTGACGTAGTGCTCAAATGCGCTTTACAATCTAGAAGTTGATATTGTTACACATTATGCTTACTGTCTGTCACCTACTGTCCGGTCCCTAAAGTGGGGAAAGGGGGTGGGAGGGCTGCGATATAAGCGCTGCGTTCCGTGAAGTGGCGCGTAATTCGTCACATTCTATTATTCAAAACGAGAGGAAAACTGGAACCGGAATGTGTCTCGTAAGTGTTTGTGGGAGCGGTACTAGGGACGCACCGGTAGCTATGTAGTCTGCTACACAGCCGTTTTTAGTGTCGTCACGCAACGCTCCTCCGAGCATTGCTTGACGACTCTAAAAACGGCTGTGTTGCAGACTAGTGGCTATGCGAAAATTTCATTTTCTCCCCGTCCCTAGTAACAATCCCAGAGGTCTTTGCGATTGTTAACTCAGCCCAGTTTCCTCGTGGTATATTTGGTGAATAGTTCAGTGGTTGACAGCAGATTTTATCAAGTGGCAATGTGTGTCTTGAATTCTAACAGATTACGTATGCTAGCGGCGGAGAAGGAGTCGCGTTCGTGATCAGAAGTCAATAGGGACTTTAAGATCCAACGACGCGACGTTAATGAGAACGTCACTTAGCTTAAAAAGTGAATTTGCGTTCTTTCAGTCTTTATCGCAATTATTCCTACCCACTTACTTTGTCAAATGTTGGCGAACCCTCCTGGAGTTGAATTCCCAGGTACCATATCCAAGTACAGAAAGAGAAATAAAATTTCGTCGTTGCTTGTTTACGTCCTCCATAAAACAGGAAATTAGGCATATTCACGTCGTAGTCGTGCATAAACGGGCAGAGAAATGTTCAAAAAAGCGTGGTGCACGTGCAAAGTTGTTGTTTTGCTAATAAAAACTATTGTTTTTTGCCGTTCTGGTTACCGTCCGCGTCGTTGGATCTTAAAGTCCCTAATCTTGTTTCTAGAGTCCGCTTTTCCCTTGTCCAGCGGAATGGGCAAAAGGCAACGGGGACTTTGATTGATTTGCCTAGTTCCTAGTCCTCATTTTGCACGCGGCCTATGCCTTTCGGGTCACGTGGTCCGAGTGAGATTTTTGAGCGAGTTGTTTTCATCAAAATGCATTGACCGAGAAGGCCTGGGAAGACGCAGTACAAGGACAAGGCAAGAGATTGCTCTGAACATTATTATCTTGTGAATACAGGGTTCGGTTCAATTTACTTGCCATTAATTAGATTCCCCTTCCAATCAACCACAAGTGAATCGCCTTAATTGACATATCAGATGAAAGTACCTCAAGAGGAAGCCACTTCTCTCGTCCCTAATTTAAGCATTATATATATGCATTTGTTGTTTCACATAGTTCCAGAGTTTTAATGTTTTACCACTTTCCGATCGAAGTTCTTTCCTTGCTAAGTTATCATTTCGAAGAAGAAACACGGCTGGAGTGTTTTGAGTCGCCAGTTTTCTCTTTATCTTCTTTATCCGGTCTACCTTCTTCTTTCTTTCGGTTGAAGTTCTTTTCCAGAACCGGTGCTGGTAACGCAACGACCATGATGCCGCTCAGCGAACAGACGATTCCAGTCAGTCGACCGATCAAGCTGAAGGGCGTCATATCACCATACCTAAAGCAAACACCGACATTGATCATAGTTATTAATGGTTATGAAACCCTTAGACTTCTTTGTTTACGTTTTTGCTGGCTTTTTTAGATTTTGATCGTGCACGACGTTCTATAACATTCCTATCATTTTTATCTTACTGACCAATAGAAACAATTCATTAATTTATTCAGCCACACCTTGTGAAAAAAAAAACAAACAAAGGACTGTGCACGGTCAGGGAACTTCCTACTCACCCTAGGGTTGTCATGGTGACAATGACGTACCAAAACGTTGCTGGGATACTGACGAACTTGGTATCTTCATCCCCCATCTCAGCGTAGTATATAATAGTTGAAAACAATATGACAAGAGTCGTTAGCACCACAAACACGAAGCTCAGTTCGGATAGACTAGCTAGAAGAGAAGATCCGGCTTCCCTAACCTTGGTATTATGCCGCGACATTTTAACGATTCGGAAAATTCTAAAAACGCGAAGTACCGTGAAAGGACCACCAGCGGCGTCTGGAAAAATCAGCGCAACGTAAAACGGGATTATAGCGACAACGTCGATGATGCTTAAGAACTGTTTCATGAATTTGAATCGGATTGGTGCAGCATATAATCGTGCTAGGTATTCCACAGTAAAAACTATGACACAAGTTGACTCCACAATGTAGAATTGCTCTGAATATTTGTCTCCACATGTTTGCTGTCCGCATTTTAATGTCTCGACAGTTGAGGCTACCACACTTACTAAAATCAAAACCGCAGAAGTATAGTGCATTAACAATCCCAAGACATTTTGTTCAGGATCTTCGAACAGCTTCCACATCTTTTGCCTGACTGTCCTAGGGACGAAATCTGTGTCCTCGGCTTTCGCGTGGCGCTTTTGATAGTCCAAAAAATCGTCGTGTTTTTCTTGGAAAATCTCATAGCAGCAATCCCCCAAATGATTATTTACAATGCCAAAAAAGTCCAGCTCACCTTTGAAACTGCACGCGCATTCATCTTCCGGGAAGTGCAGAGTTCCCTTACGATAAAATTGAATTATGTAGGTGAAAAGTTCGGGGTCGCGATCAAAGAAATATTCATTCCTTTTATCATCGAAGAAAGAATCTCGTCTTGTGCTTCCCAGCAATGTATCTGAAAGAAAGCAAAAAAGTCAACAGTGTTTGGCTAAAACAAGGATCCAGGGTTACGGAGTCGACAATCCAGGCACATCCCAGAGTTCGAGACCCCGGATTTCGAGATTACGAACAATTTCAGTTTCAAAAAGCTATTATACTGTAAGGTAAAAAATTACTTTATCTCGACCTCATTTGTTAGCGTTCATCACTGTATTGTTGAACTGGTTTACTAAGTCATTTTTGGTTCCGTGACTCGAAAATTTTCGGCCCAAATGCGTCTATCTCGACACATACACAAAAATCAACGACCATCAGAATGTCTTTAAGTTGAAGTTTTTCAAGCTGGAAACTGTGCAATTCTTGAGCTTTTACTCCATAGAAGGAAAGCTACAATAGCAAATTTTATCTGATTCCCTTCGTTGTCTCTCTCTCTCTCTCTTTTCTGTTAATAAAAAAAAATAAAAACTCTGTCCGAAATTTTCTATACGGTATACATGGCCTTCAACTTGGCATTTTCGAGAACTATTTTTCTTTTCATTCTGGCAACAGGATCCCATAGTCACCATTTGGTTTGTTTTTCTTGTACCTCCGTACGGTGTAATATCATTTCAATAACGAAAAAAATAAAAACAACCAATCGGCCATGGAAAATCTCCTTCCAAAAAGAGAGTACAAAGTAATTAACTTTGCTATAGTGTCAGCCAAACACAGCAGCGGTCCCTAAATGATTTATTGTTGTTAATATTTATAAATTTTCTATTGTCAAAATACCCTTTTTTAACATAAATATCAAAATAAACGAACGGTTCTGTCATTATTCGTCAGAACATTATTTCGAATAACCCTCGGTGTTTTAAACGGTTACCTCCCATATTTGACGAATGCATGCGTAGGGACTAAAAGTAACCCATGACAGTTTCATATAAAACATTTAACTATATTTTTTTTTTAAAGTACTTGTCCGGCAAACCTTAGATCTTGAGCCATGTAATTTTTTTTCTGTTTTAATCTTGGATTTAGTCGACTTCTGCAGTAAATTTTAAGCTCCTACAAAAGCTAAGCTCTTCTTATTTCATCGCGTTTACAGTCGGGCGCTTACGATAATAAATTAAAAATGGTATATGTTATAATTACTGCAATATTAAGACGATTTTGCAGAGATAAACTTCTTGGCAGTCAACTTTAACCTTGCTGATAAAATTAAACTTCAAGTACTAAAATATAGAACTAAGTTATAGAAAAAAAAGAAAGGAAAATGTGGTTCTTGACGAAGACCGTCCAACATTATGGACAAAAATGGCTGGTTCGATTTCACAAATACGGTATGGATATTTTAAAGATTACCTGGGTATTTCTCGAAGATGTCGTTTTGCACTTGAAATCTTCGACCGCTCACATTTATCGTGACGAAACCATCTCTGCATTTGCTTTTGAAAGTCACTCGTTGTCTTTGTCGACGTCTGTGGTTCTCATTCCGCGAGCAAAAGACCGTTGGCTTCGCTTCTTCTTTAACCATGCTCACGGCCATTGGATACTGAAACTTACAACACAACAGTCCCTGCTAGTATATTCTCAACAGTACTTGCCAGTTGCCCCAGGAATTATTTGACCTCGGTAAAACTGATTTGAAGAAACAATACTAAACCAAACGCTTTCAACCAAATGACAAAACCGTTCGAAAATTGCCTTTGTCTTTCAGATGTTGCTGCCTGCTTGAGGTCTATGCCGAGTTTAATTTCCAGAGGATTTGCGGTCTTTGAAAAATACATTAGGTAGCAACCCATGAAGCTCATTAGAAATTCAAAATTACGCCATTAGATTAACAGTAAGACCACCTGCGTTATATGCCTTCCGTTTTTTCACTTGCTGTTATATTGTTAAAACCAGTTAACCCACATTTTATTGGTCCGATAGATTATTTAACACCATAATATTTGCTGTGTCAGTATAGTTAATTTTCCTTCGAATATAAATTAGAAACCAAGCCAATTGAGGCATGTGAAGAGTTAGAATTGAAAACATTTAAAGTTCCCCATTTTTAATATATGCAACTAACTTTCCGCTGTCATAAGTAGATGAATTTAACACATAAACCATTTTAGTATTATCATCTGTATCTTTGCATTTTTATTATCTTGGAACGGATGTTCAGGGTAAGAAAAAAAACGGACCATCAAAGGAAAGGTTTTCTCCTATTCGTTTGAGAGATTTCCTTTTTCCTTAAAAAAAAGATAATATACTTCAAAACTCTTCGCTGACGCGTAAAAAGATCTTATACGCTCTTTCCACTAATCGTACAAAGTTTATTGCCTGATTTCTCATGTAACTAATCGTTTTTGCTGACAAAAAAAGGAGAAAGAAATTAGAGAAACCACAAGCCGACCGGCGCGAACAGGGTGCAGTGAATACCGAAAATTTTCGAAAATTATCCGCTGCAACGTTTATATTCCCTAAAGCACTCTTCGAACTAATTATTCGAAGGTGACTATAAATAGCATGGAAGCTTCGGGATTTTTCGATTTAAAATCGGGTCTTATTATATAAATTGGAGGATAAAATCGTGTAAAAACTCAGTTTTCAAGAGAATATACAAGAACGCAAAATGATAACTAAGATCACGCCAACTTTAAACAGATCAGCAGCGAACTAAAATTAAAAATAGATTACCGAGCAAATATCAAGCCAGCTTACTCCTTCTGTCCGCCCCTTGTAAGGATTCTCTAATTAGCTACTTTGTAAACAATTTTAAAAGAAGGGAACTGGAGCCAAAATGCGTCCCGCAATTCTTTCTGGGATTGTTACTTGGGACGTGCCGGTCAGCTATTGGCCAATTTTTTCCCATGCCCCTTTGCGAAAGTTAACTCGCCCCAGACTCCTTTTCGTTTCTATAGTGACGAATTGTAATCTAATGGCGCTTTCCATTTGTCAAAACTGATCGACCGGCCAGACCATTCCAGTCATAATGAGAATTTCACTTTTTATCAAAACTGTCCAGCCAGATCGGTAAAATCCTAAATAGCATGCACGAAAGAGATGGTGTTTCAACAAAAACTCGTGGAAAAAAGCATTTTTCATTGTCAAAATGACTGGTCCAACTATGGTCCAGCCGATCAGTTATGACTTTTGGAAAGCGCGCTAAGAGAGCGTGTTCACTTTCTTTTCCAAAATCATTACTCAGATCGCACATTAAAAATAACCTCTGTTCACAGTTCCTGCTTTCGGTGCAATAGGCTCCTTTTGTTTTATTAATTTACAAATTGATTTATACAAAGTTTACGGGATGCAAAAGAGGGTATAGCTTTGAAAACAAAACTGAGAAAAAAATTTGACAAATCAAAATTTGAAAGATCTGACTGGATAGTTTTGAGAAATAGCGAAATTCGCATTACTACTGGAATAGTCTGGCCGGTCAGTTCTGACAAATGGAAAGCGCCATTACAATTCGTCACCATAGAAAAGAAAAAGAGTCTGGGGCGAGTTAACTTTCGCAAAGGGGTATGGGAGAAAATTGGCCAATAGCTGACCGGCACGTCCCAAGTAACGATCGCAGAATTAATTGCGGCACGCATTTTGGCTCCAATTCCCCTCTTAATTGTTTTCAAAACTGAACCTCTTTACGACGGCCACCTTGATAGGCTTAGCCACAAGTTGCTCGGCAACTTTTGAGATTTTCGGCAACTTTTTAGAATTTTGGCAACTTTTAGAATTTTCGGCAACTTTGGGCTTTTTGAGGCTCTTTGAAGTCACTTTCTTCACGTTTTGAGCCACATTGCTCAGTTTTCGATAGATATTTATTCAATTTATTCTAAAATACAATAATTAGGGCCTAAGGCCCCCCCGCCCCCCCTTAATGGGTTGATATTTTTGATGCCTTATCACGAGGTCAACGGTATCACGTTGCACGTTTTTCAAGATGGCGGACAATTACCATGTTTTGTTCATGTCATTCTGATAGACTATTTGTTGATCAAGTGAAATGGAAAGAACCTCTGATATTATCATTGGACTTTGACAAATAAAGTTTTGATAAGAAGCAATGTGCGAATTTTTAATATTTAACACCCAAAAAAGGTACGAAAAGCAGAAAAATTTTGGCAACTTTTCGGCAACTTTTTGGCAACTTTTAGACACTTTTATCGGCAACTTTAATTTTTTGGGATTCATCGGCAACTTGTGGCTAAGCCTACACCTTGAGGACAGAAGAAAGTGACCGTTGTAGAGAGGTGGCAGCCGTAGAGAGTTTGAAACAAGAGTGAATGTATGGACTGTCCGCCAAAAAAAATGGCCGTTAGTGGGAGTTCGACTGTACTTAACGAATGCAATAAAATGGGATGCACTTCTAGTGCTGATTTCGCTAATTTCTGAGTCGATCAGGAAATGAGAATTCCCGTCTTCACGATTAAACATGGAACAAAAAAAACAAAGAGTGTTGGTTTTAAAAAAAGCATGGTTTCGGCCAGAATTGAACTGGCGACCTTCTGCGTGTAAAGCAGACGTGATAACCACTACACTACGAAACCATTCCCTACCATGCTAGTGTTTTTTTTTAAAGTTAATTCATGTACGCAGGCAATGAAATGTTTATCGTGATTGGCACACAAGAGTGATCATATTTTGCAACACTTTTCACCATCTTTTCACGAGTAGATGCTAAAACTCATACTAACCACTTGACCGGACTGGTTGCCATAACAACAATGCCACCTTTAAGCCAGAGGTTGAATACTGGCTCCAAATCAATGTCTACGATCTCCATATTTCCGCGCATTGAGTGATCGACTTGTAATCAACATGCTCAATTTCAACAGTTTTGCAAAGTAAGAAAACTATATACAAAGCAGTTGTCAGCCACCTTAATTTTTAAGACACTGCTGGGTGTTACTGGATCAGTGTAAATGATTAATCGAAAGAGACAACAATTTTTGAGAAGATTTGTCACACCACAGTTGCCCCAATTTCAATGGACCCACTTATAAAGTTCCAAATTTTGGTTTATATACACACGAACGGGAGACATGAAATTCAAACTACATTGCCAAATATTACTTGACGTTACAACAGACAGATTACTACCCTTCACTCAGACATTTGTTTGTTGTTGCATGTTCAAAAATAATCTGTTATTAAGATCTGCTCTTCCTAACTATCTTATCTACTGATAATTTATGAAGACATAACCAACATACTTACAAAATAGCGATATTTTTCTTTCCTGGTCTTTCTCAGAACTTTATTTTGGTCCGATGATTTTTCTGGTGGATGAATCCAACGCGCACAAAAAATTCAAAACTTTTGAACGAGCATCTAATTGCCCTGAGATGAAAAATTCATTGATATAAGAGTTTTTTTCATTCGAGACATTACTTTATGAACACTCGCATTTTAAGGAAAATTAGAAAAACCAAAATAGTTATAATTCTGCCGGCTGAGTTTACTTTTTACCTTCATGTCGGTCGGACTTGCCCAATTTTACCTTAGGCTAATCTCAATAATAAAAAGAAATACTGTCGCTTTTGCATTCTGACGCAAATAGAATTCAAAATGTAATTAAAAACCCCAAATCCGACTGTGCTAGAACAATAGACTGTAGCACATTAATTTTGATTTTTAGCTTAAGTGATTTATCCACAACAGGAAAATAGTAGCATTATTTTTATGAAAACATGGATTTCAAAGCGAGTGTATTGAGTTTTAAAATTGAAGGACAATATCTTGTGAAGAGTTAAAAGAAGCTCGTTAAAATTCTATTGTAGACGAACAAGATACAAAAAGTCAAGCACTTGAAAAGTGTTTAATTAATAGTAATTTCGCGTCTCGAAAATTACCTTTGACAAGCGCATTGAATAATTTTCGAGCATTCTTCTTGAGATATGATCCCGTTGTCAACGTCATGAAAAGTCAAGAAAAGGTTTTCGGCGATTGAATTTCAGTTTAAAATATAATTTTCCACCCAAATCGAGATCATGATACTGCATGTTATTCCGCCGTTATTATCATCAAATAAAGCCTTGGGTCTCAATATGACCGAGTTACGATCGCTGAAAAAAAAATGATCAGAACGATTCAGTAATGTAATCTAGGTCACCTCGTTTTTAATTGAATCCTGATTACTGAAAATCTCGAATTCTCTAAGCCCTTTTAAATCTACTCAAAGATCAAAACACCCATCGTTTGCATTAAAGAAGCCAGTTTCAGTATTAATAAGAAAACATACTTCAAGATTCACGCAGCTATCATATGAAAAATCTACGATCTGATCTAAATTATTGCTCTCAAAATATACTTAAAATCTGGAGCTCCATCGTTTTAGATAAGGAGAACTGATCTTCTTTATATCGAAAGCTGGGTCTATTCGTACAGAAGAAAATTTTCAGGAAAACGTGTATGTACCACTGTTCATCCACCTCCTTCTCCTCCTTCTTCTCCTCCTCCTCCTCCTCCTCCTCCTCATCATCATCATCATTATCATCATCTTTCTCCTCATCAGGGGAACAGGACAAAAACATTAATCTTCTCAACAGTTAGTGATAAGATAACAACTATCTTTTAAATTTCTTCAATTCTAGAACTTGGTTAACGTTACTCATATCTCATTGGTTGCAAGGTTTAAGGTCACATCGCTCCATATGTTATTTACTAAACCTATTGTCATGCAGACGTTTGGGTTTTGATTTTTGCTCCTATTTGCTCCGTCCCTGTCCCTCGAAATCCAGAGTACCCCCCCTTGGCCGTCGCCTTCGTAGTTTCTTAAGGTCAAATTATAAAACAATTACATGATCCTTACGACAAGAAGACTGAGAGAAAAAAATAGGAACTGAAAACATAAATCAAATAGTGAATTATACTTGCCTGATATTTCGATTTGCAACAGAAAACCTTCAACGTGGGCTTCAAAAGTAAGATGAATAAAGTACAGGATGGACGTTGCATAAGCGAAACATATATGTAATGTTCTTTTCGCATACGTAACGTTCATCTTGTATTCTTTTCAACTTCAGATCATGAAAATTTCACATACCTTTGTCATATTGAGAGGGCTGGAATAAACTCGAAGACGATTTCATTATATGTCTGGAACGTAATAGGGAACTTAAGCAACGGAAAAGTTGCCTTCCGGGCGTCAAAAAATGGCAACCGGAAGTTTATCTTTTCTCTCTGTCAGTCGGCCCTGACTCCGCAAATTCGTACAGCGGGAGTTAAAACACTGTATTCAGATTCGTTGTGTGAGACAGAAGCGTTCCATCAAGCGAGACATTGAAGCTCTGCTTGTTATTTATGACGTCCGGGACGACAGCGTTCTCGTTGCTTAAGCACGCTTATTTCTCCCTCGTGCAAGGCGGCTGACATATTAACAACGCGTGGTAGGAGTCGACTGTAAGCAAAATCGGTTCGAGCACTCAAGCGTACCGCCCTACAATCAGCGGCAGTCAAGGCAGCTCAGGAGTAGCCCGTATTCTCCTGTCCATGCTCTTAACAAGTACGAAAAGCTCGAAGAAATTTTTGAAATCTCGAAGCATTTTTAGGGGTCAACAAATAGGTTAAAATTGTTAAAATACGTTGTCATGTTTACCGCTAATAAAGAAAGAACAGCTGTTTTATTTCAATCTGTCATTGTATAATTCAACGCTACAAAGTGCTTATAAGGCATTGGCTTGTTTTTTCATCTGTCCTTGTAAAGTTAGAACGGTCAAAAAGGCGAAAACTGGCATGAGCCACCTTAATTCTCAAACTCAGTTTTCACAAGCCGCGCAAAGGATTATGAATTGGATAACCGTTACCAATCTCCTCTCGACATATCATTGCGCCTGGGATAGTTGATCGACTTTTGGATTTGTGGAAAGGCGCCGTTCTCTGCACTCGTCTTTTGATCCTTGGTAATACGCTAATATATCCTTCCAATTTACGGATTCAATTATGTCCATGAAGGATTTCTACATGACCGCGTTGTTTCATGTTATGTTGCACAAAGCAGTTCTTACTCAAAAGGACGCTTTGTACATTACTTGGTGAAATGGACGCCCGGGAATGGACGATTGGGCGATTGGGCGATTGCAAACGGCAGAAACGGGCAATCTGAAGCTGCAGGCTTTGGAATGAAGACAAAAATCACAAGGTAATTATTGTAATTCTGTTTATTATTGTCAAGGTACTGTTTGCTCAGTTCTGGTTTAAGCTGCTGAAATAAAACGCAGGCATGTTACAGGTGGAAGCGAGTCTGGAGTTGACCTTTTTTGATACAACCCTTCCTGCTTTCTTTTGTAAATCATGTTGTTCTTATACTGAATAGTATTTTCAAAGCATGATTTCCATAACAAAACGGAGGAGGTTTGTATCAAAGCAAGGTCAACCTCAGGCTCACAACAGCTTGTAAACCATCATGTTCCACTGTCCTACATCTGTTTTCTTCTCTGTTTCAAATGTGACGAACCAAACGACAGTCAAATCACTGTTGCTATGTTGGTGTCACAAAACAGACAACTAGTGCTGAAGTGTTGCATGACAGATGAAAGTATACATATATATACTTTACCAAAAACTTAAACCAATAAATAAATTTGTATATAAATAATCAAAATGTGTGTTCAAATAAATATAATGCATTTCATTTGGCATTCAAAGTCTCCTAGGCATGTACCATTACTCTGCGCATCTTCTATAACTTATGAGTTTTGAAATACAACTTCCCAGTACAGCGTAAAAAATAACTTAGAGTGATTTGTTGTTCCCAGGAATAATATTATTAAGTTTGCAGGGATGCTACACCTGCCAACATAAACAGGCATAATGACACAGGCCTGAGATTTTTTCACCAGTGATCGCCAGGATTTCTAACCCTTATCCAATCACCTCTAATTTGATTTAAAGATTTCCAATGAGGGCTAAAAAACACCTGAAGTTATTTATGAAAATTTAATTTACTCTCACAAGAAACTGGATTTTGTATCCCACGACGAGTTGCAAAAAAGTTTTGTGTGGGTGTGCCGTGGCAGCACTGTTGTCATTAAAAATTGCCAACCTAGCTAAATAAGCCATTTCTGAGTTGCCCAAAGCCTCTGTTTCAAAGCGAGGCTAAGTACAAAGCCATTGATATCAAAATGGATCTTTATTCTCATGTGAATAAAACTCATTTTCATAAGAAAGGTTTTGCACTTAACCTTGTTTTGAAAAGTGAGAATTTTTGGAACTTGGAAGTGGCCTATTAGATTCTATAGTATTTTGACATTGAAGTTGTCTAGCCTTCTCAGGATTGTGCTTTGTGGGTCGCTTGTTATCCAAAACAGCTGTAATTACTGTCCTCTTTTCAAGCACAGTTAGTTAAAGGTTAACCTTTTAAGTCCAACAAGCTGCCATAAGCATCTAATATATCCTAAGAATAAGGAACATTTCTCCAAAGAAATAATTCTTTGATTACCACAAGGAAAGCTAAACTAAATACCTAGCGTGACTGACATGCTTATCACAATAATCAACGGCCATGTCAGTTGCACTAGATAAGTAATTTTGATCAAAAATAGATTAAAGAAGTATGCTATCTCAAAAATTCAAATTTGTCAAATTATGGGATGGATTGGGATGTTTACAATTAAAGAACAAGAAGAAAAATGCCGACAGGCCAAAATCAGTACAACAATAGATGTTAGTGTAAATTAATAGTGAGATATAATTTAGCGAGGTTATACTGTGATGACTCCATAAAAATTTCTCTAAATTTGACCTGGATTGTACATTTTATGATCTGAGCCAGTTTTAGAAGGATTTGTATGGAATCATCAGAACATTACGTCGCCTAAATCTCACCACCAATTTGCACTAACCCGATGAATTTTGGCAAGTGGGCAATTTTATCATGTTCTCTCTGAACTTCCTATCCAATCTCACAATCGCATTAATCTTTTTTTTGTGACATCATCATTTCTCTAATCTGTTGCTTGTTAATTTTACACAGTGCATAGCATTAATTAACTTATAAATAAGTTATTGCAGCCAAAATTTTCTCATATACATTTGTATTGCTGGTTCTTGTTTTCTTTTTGGAAATTTGTACATGTTACAAGTACAATTGTTATAGCTGTTGATTTTTGTTGTTTTACATCGAACAAATTAAAATTCGTAGGTTTTTAGCCAATTTAGTTGTTGTGACAGTATAGTTTTCCTTTAAATATGTGTAGATTTTCGCAAGAACAGCAGAATTATTGATGTGACTGCATGAATGAAATTTGTAAAACAGAAGAATTGAGTGGTCTGCTGGGTAAAGTTAATACATTACCTGGAGAAATTGTTATTTAGTAGGATAAAATGCTCCCAATTAAATATCTCTGAGATCAATTAAAATACTACCATTTATACATGCATTTGCAGAGCATTTAACAACCTAAATAAGTAGATGAGAAAACATTGTTCTAGACAGCAAAAAATTAATATAACTAATGTGACTGCATGAATTTGTACCTTGACAGATAAAAACTGCTAATGATTATTAATAATCATGGTTTAGCTCCCAACTTTTGCCTGAATTTCGTTCTCTGAAGACCTGTTTTTGGTGACTCACTACTACAGTCAATTCTTTTCCACATACACTGTAGAACACTGTGGTGTATGTAAAATAATAATTAAGTGTAATATGTCATGTGTTATTGTGGATGTCTCATATGTTGTACAAGGCCATTCAAACTTTTGAGTCTGTGGAAAAATCAGTGCAATCCCTGCTCATCTACCATGGCAGGTATTTGATAAGGCATTTTTCTATGGCTGGGGCTTGAGTGCAGACCATAATTTTTCTTTCTCTCTTCCCTTTGAAATAAAATGACTGCAGCCACTTAACAGGCTACCCAGATCTTTTTCACCCTTAGAACTTTCTTGTCAATACTACTATAATACCTAATTACAATTTCATTTCATTTTCCTTTGTACAAATAAGTTAATTATCGTCATCTCTTAAAAAGAAACCCTTTCCTTTAAAAAGTTTTTTCTAATGGAGTGCAAATTACTCCATATTTTAATGTTTGATAAATTATGTTGCCTTGAAGGCTAAGCTTTTGAGGAATTTTGAGCAAACCTTGATCCGCAATAATTGCAGATGATGTCCAAGATTCTCCTGAGAATGTTTTCACTGTGGTATCTTTCTGTCACTTGTGCATCCTTGCATATATCCATGAAAAGCCCACAGGTTCACGATCATAAAAAAGTTAAGTTAACTTCATCTGTACCTTATTGAAACCTGCCACCTTTGTGAAAGGTAGGATGTACTCTCACATGATCCATACCTGGTCTCCAGTCCATAAGCTTCTCTGCTGATCCTCACTCAAACTATAAATGTCAGAGACCAGCTCCAAACATGGTGCCAATTTTTGTGGCTCTCAGCACCCTATCTCTGTGGGTGTGGCCACTATTTTTCTGTATGCACTTTCTGGTGCCAGTGTGCGATTGGTTTGTATATAGTCTCTCATTTCCTCACGTTTTGTAGAAAATATTTGTTGAATAAATATCTCTGATGACCAAGCATCTCACAATCACCGTGCACTGCACAGTGCAAGTCGTCTTCAGTATTGGATAAAAGCCCCACTTTCAAACTGATGGGCTGATTTTCCTCGCTACATCTCCAAATCTTGTGGCATTAAAAAAAACCACTTGGCAGAGAGCACTTCTGAAATTCTGACCGAGTGAACTCTGTTGTAGTTTGTAATAGCTATTGCTTGAATTTTGACTATTATAAACAATTTTTTACTATCATTTTTTCTGCAATATTCTTATCAGCTACCGGACTGCTTTTCATGATTTTTGCCAGCAGTTCAGTTGTTTTTTGAACACATCTCATTTTACAACTTTCCTAGCCAGAAATAATGTTCTTCTTCATAATTTGCCTGAATTTCATTTTCTTGAAAAACTTTAAATTATGGTATGCGAACCTCTTCGGTTGTTACAGTTTTCATATCTGCGATTAGCTGCACTGTCATGGATGTTGTTCGGTACTGCCACGACAGTTTCATAATCTGGCATTGTCACAATGGCCGATGTTGTTATGTTGTTTGGTTGCTTTTCGTGGTTATGTGGCTTTGAATTTGCCTTATGCTTGCCTTTTATGTCATTCATCTCCAAGTGATCTGGCACAAATGTATTCTCATGCTGATGTGCAGGCTCAGAAAGTGATCTTGTTCGTTTCATGCATTTCCCTGTGTAACTATTTCGATTGTAACAGGCATTGTCGCACACTGCCGCCAATGACACTGATGATGATATTGGTGAGCCAGAGGGTGTGCAAATTGGCGAAGACTGCTTGGGAGTTCTTCTCATGGCCTCTCCTTTGTAAGAGTATTCCATTTCTACAAACTGTCGTGCCTGCAAAAAAAAAGTCTCAAATTGACTCATTTTTCAACATAACATGTCAAAGGCCCTCAGTCTAGGTGTACAGCGATTATAAAAAATAATTGGACACTAGATCCCCTCAATAAGAGGTTCAATAATTAAAGTGGTCTTCTCTGATGTCAAGTTTTTTTCAACAATTGCATTCCTCAAGTAAAATCAACCTCAGGCAAAAGAGTCACAAAATTAATTTTACCCAGATTTGCAAAATTAGAAGCTCTCCCTACAAAGGATGTATAAGATGATGGGACAGATCCCTTTGTAAGACATTCAACAAGTGGTCTTACATACTACTGTAAGGGGGAATTTTCTGCCGCTAGCGTTGCTCAAACTTGACATTTGTAACACTGCAACAATTCTCTTACATATAATTTTCAAGAAAAACTGCAGGGGATTTATAGAAGGCATTAATGTGTTGTGAATCTTGTCTTGCAATGGTGTCTGGCAGTGTACATATTATTTTAAGTATCACATGCACATACTGTTGCTTTCTCCAAGCACTGTAACAGATGAGTGTGTTGTTCATCAAGATAGTTTTTCTCTTTATTGCTTACTGGAATCTGCGTCAACTCTAAACCAGCCCCCTGCATAGACAAAATCAGGAAATAATATGTTTATTACATGTACTGCTGGTTTGCACTTGATGTCCTAGCAGCCATGTTGGTGGTTAAGAACAAAACCATTTCTATTCTCTGAGAACTAAACTCCATTTTCAAAGGGGTTTCAAAACAAGCCGGTGAGCGCTGGAGTTCTGTCGGCTGCGTGATTTTAGGTCACTGACCCCTCTAGCCTCTGGGGCCTTGCAGCCCCTCGATTGTCACAGCTGCCTACTTTTCCAGAGTTGGCCACCTGCTTCAAAACATTTTGAATCCCCTGTTTTTCATGCAATTCTTTTTGAATTCATGTTATTCTTTGAAATAAGTTTAGTTTATTGTGTTGACCACCAACATGGCTGCCATGTGTGGTTGCAAACCAACTAGAAGAAAATAAATGCTCCATCCATGAAACCAATTTTAGAAAGACCCTTTTGTGGAACATTGGTTTGTTATTTCTCTTTGCTCCACATTTCTCCTTCACAAGATTGGCAAGAACACCAATGTGACAGCAGATTTCATCAATTTCTGTGGGTACAATTAAACGGAAGCAGTCCCGACCCTGCCTGTCTTAGCCCAAGTTTTGATACCCAAGTTTTAAAGGGATCTGGGATAGAATCTATTAACTCTAATATAAGCCTCTTTTAAGTACCAATTTATATCACCATGCATTTTTGATATTTTTTATTGAGCTGCTTCTTACTTACCAATGGAACATTGTCTTTGTCAGGGGGTGAAACCAAAGCAGTACCAGCCATTGTCTTTGAGATTGATACCCTTGCTTTCTAAAAATGAGTTACATGAATACATACCTAGTCAGTGACCAAATTAATGGTGATAGCTTATTTGTGACTGTACATTTTGTCAGAAATAAATTACAAATTATTTAACAATTTATTATAAATATATAGTATTATAGTGTTCAATTCTACGTTTATTATCATGATAGTACATTACTTGCAAAAAAAGACTGTTCATTAAGAACATTTTAAAAATATGTTCGAAACTTTTGTTCTAATTTTGGACAAAGTTGAACACTATATATATTTAACTATTCAGCGATTTATCCATAATTGACTTATTTTTGTCAGTTAGCATATTATTTTATATTTTTTCATCATCTTAATTTATTCACCATAATGAACTAGACTTGCTTTTACTTGCTAGATTAGCCCTGCTATTTGTGATAGCCAGAACAGAGGATGTAAAGATTGGCCTTTTAACTCAATGACACTTTGGAGTGAAATTGGTATCCTTGGTAGATCTTACACTTTGCTGAAACACATGTACAACAAATTTGTGCCTACAAGGTACGACTTACACTAGAAGATTAAAAAATCTAGGAAAAAGGTATTTTCACTTCTATACTACTTGATTGAAATGTTTCACAATTAATAAGAAAATAGCACAAATATCACTTGGAGATGCTTTTTGTCAAAGCTAGTGGTTCTAGAAAATTTTATAAATTGATAATTGATTATATAATCAATGGAGGAACCAGAATTTCAGATGGGGGGGGGGGGTAATCCAGACCCTGAGATAACGGGGGAGGCAGTCTCAAAAAAGTTTTGTTTGGCCCTTCAGACCTCGGTTTGGTTTAAAAGAAGGGGGGGCATTCAGGTCCCTAGGGCCCCTCCCCTGGGTCCGCTACTGAAAATGGAATAGCATACCTTGTGGGCTTTCCGTTTGTCTGCTCTTTGGTTTTGTAGATATATCCTACTGAAATTTGATACAATAACTGGCACAGGCAGGGCAATCACTAGCACACCACTGAGTGAGCACAGGCTGCCAACTATCTTCCCTGGGGTTGTCTCAGGAACCATATCCCCATACCTGGAAAAAGTATAATTTATTATTGGAGATCGAGCTGAACTATAGGTTATCTGAAAACACACTGAAACTTTTATGAACACCATGTCCACAGTACAGAGCCCATGACAGGTTGTTTAGTCATTGACACTGTGGATAAAGATTTATCCCGACAAGCCTGAACTTTTTCACACAGGCTTTACTTTCAAAGCTGCATATAAAGATGCATCTTCAACAAATTGCATTCATTAGTTCATCTTCATCTGTCCCGGGTATATTATGAACCAATTTTTAATGAACAGCTCCCAGTTGGCTTGCTAGCTAAATTAGTTAGGGCACTGCACCAGTATTGCAGAGGTAAGGGCTTGAATCATAGCAAGCCTTAATTTTCAGGCTTTCTTTTCGCAACTGTAATGATCTTTATGAATAACATTTATTTCTTTATAATTCCTGCAGTTCAAAGATATATATGAAATTCATTTATTCATTATTTCAACGAATAACTTATAGATTCCTTGGATTTTTCATTCCTTTTTAGGAAGTTCCAGTATCCTTGTTGATCAGGATTCAAGATGGAGGAGAGCTTTTGAGGATTGCTATCCTGTGTAACCTAACAATTTTCATGTGCTTCATCAACCTCTTGACTGCAGTTATGCTGGGCTTCTTGATATGCTTCATTGCGGCATTAACATTGGCCAGTTTGACAGCTTTGTATGTACACTTAATCAATAGAAGTGAATAGTTTTAAATGATACAATCAACTCTGTTTTAACCGTTTTGAAGGCCAAGAGTGACCAACATCAATTTTCTCCTAACAATTCATTATTAAAACAGAAGGTTTTGGGAATTAATTGAATGATCACTTAAGGGAAAATGCTTTGATCTTGTAACAAATTCTCTTAACTAATTCTCTAAGTGAATGTATGAAGATCAGTTCAGAGAATTTGTATGTGGACACACGGGCTGTAAGGGGTAACAACTCCACCGACACCTGCTTGTAGAGACGGACACTTAGAGTTGGTCCCTGACGTCACTCAGGCATTTACTTCCTCTCTTTATGAGGCTAACCTTAAATCAGGCCCAAATTTAGCAACAGACAGTCATGAAAAAATTTGCATTTCCAGATCTCATGGAAAATTATGATGAAGTCTGAACAAGTTCAAACTCTTCTCAATTCAACATGTCAACACAGCTCTCAGCAGAGTTGAGTTGGAATGACCCTATACGCAAATTATCAACAAATATATTGCCTTATTACGACGTTGTGTCCTTGGTTCAATTTTTTTTTTCTTTTGTTTTTGATATTCTGTGCGTTAATACACATGCACAATAATGAGACTGAACTAACGAAAATAAAATTTGAACCAAGGATCAATAATAAAGAACAATATTGAACCATAGCAAGAACTCAAAGTTAGGCATAAATGAGTGATGATTAAGCCAAACAATTTTACAAAGGCCTATTATTTTCACTTTCACTTAGCCTTGATGATATCTAGCCTCATAATATTTATATAATTTTTACTATCTTAGAAACAAAAAAACACATTATGTAAGCATATTTATATGTTAATGCCATAACAAAGAGGTATCGCAGGGTGAAATGAGATGAAAATACTTAATTGTTCTTGGATGAATCATTTCACAAAAGCACATCAATGTGTGACAAAGAGTGATGAAGATTAAAATTTTTATATATCTATCAATATCATTTAATATTTGACGTGTTAGCTGACAACGCGGTATTGAATATTACAATGGCAATGCAAATGAGGGGAAAAGAAAACGTTGTGAAAATCGAAAAACTGTGTAAAAATATAAAATATTCATTAAGGTATACTTTCTGTCATTGCATATGAAATGAGTTAAAACGAATCGAGAGAAAAAATAAATAGGAAGAAATGAAAAATTATCGAACAAGCACTCAGTATAAATGATATGCAACAAGCGAGGGCTGGGAAAACAAAAGCCAACGTTTTAGAGTAATACCTTTCTCTGATCGGTGCTTAAGACCCATTAATTAAGTGTTGTTGCTAATCCATTTGAACGGACAAAGTCCTTGAAGTGCTTGGCTGACTTTCATGGTAGGATGGTTTTAGGGCCTGATAATTCATTTTGAAAAATTCTAGCGGTTACAGCTTAGCTCACGCAAAAACGATTCAAATGCACCTTAGTTAAAAGCTTGGAAGTAACCGCGAAATGTCACATTTTATTGGTTATATACGAAAGGTAACTCAGAAGCATATAGAATTTAAAAAAATAAAACTGAAAATACCTAATAATAATTAAAAAACGGCTGTGAACAACATGAAAGTCGTGAACAGTTTCATTTCGTTTTTTCCTTTTAAAAGTGTAAGTAGGGCAACTAAAAAGCTGAATATTTTGAACGCCTAGAAATCGATTTAGAAGCCACAGTGCGGCATAATTTTTAAGTATCTCTGTTTCTGTGTTTTACTCAAAAACCTGTGTTTCGCTGTGAATTGTACACTTCCATACATCGGGACTAAACAATTCCTTACAGCTGCGTGCTAAATGTTCGTGCTGTAAATAAATTTCCTCGACTTCCTTGTTAATTCAGTTCTCCTGCGACTGGTTCTTGTTTTCAATAACATCTATTTTTGCATAAATTTCTTGTTACATCTAGTTGCAAGAATCTATCGACTTATAGTGGCCCAGAGGCCAGCTACAGAAAATGAAATGAATTTAGCAAACACGCGACTTAAAGAAGTTCCTCTAGAAAATAAAAGCAATCGGGCCAAAAGATGTGCAAAATTATAGTCCTTGTTGTCGAGGTGATGCGTCTATCATAACGGTATACATAAAATTTAAACCCAATTGTCACGTTTTCGGCGCGTGGAGGAAGTTCTCCGAAATTTCATCAGAAATCTTAGCGGATCAGTTTCAAAAGCACCGAAAGACATTATCGCCGTTTTAGAACCGTAATTCATTAAGCTCTTATCTCAAAACCTATCGAACAAATACCACAAATAAACCAAGCTAATACACTGTTAGTAGATTTCATTCGAAGCGAGCCGATCAGACGTTCGTAAAAGAAGAAAAAAAATAAAGTTGAAGAACGTACTTAAAACGCAAATGGTGCCCGCGCTTTTGTAATACAATACACCAGCTTTAAAGCATGTCATTCAACTATTAATTTTTTAACACAGGAAATTTTAAATTCGTCTTTTGCCATAGTATTTACCGTGTCTTAGCTTCGATGAACGAATAAAAAAAAATAAACGTAGTTTGAGTCTGTTTTTTAGTTCGAACCGTAACGTGCATAAACTGTACAGAACTTTTTCTGTTCAAGTTTTCATTATATGAGGATGTTGGAAAACAATAAGACGTAAATATATGCATTTTGCTTCAAAACATTATGTTTTGCATGCAAATTAAGCCATGTCTGTTCTTGCGTTTTAAAATATTATCTCTACGAAAGTTAGCCCATTGTGGGAAAATGAGTTGTCCGTGAATTGTAACTTTTTTACGCTAAGTGTAATAATTTTATCCATGGTAGACTGAGTTGTATGCGTCGATTAATGTAAGCTACCCGAGAAACAAATGTATTTCGTCTAGACCTCTAAATTAGAAGGAAAAACAGACAAAGTTAGTTTCGTTTTGGTAGACAACGCAGTAAAGAATGACATGGGCAGATTCAGATAATTTGCACAAGGACTTAATGTCTGTAGACAAATGTAAACACAAAGTTAGCCGCCGAGTTTATATACGTTTAGTCATGTGTAGTTCATTGAGAAAAAATTTTAACTTACCCTAATGTAGTCATTGTAACGATGGTGTACCAGAAACTTGCAGGAATACTTTCGAATTTTGTGTTGGGTTCTCCTTTTTCCACGTAATACATGACAGTAGCGAATATGATGACTGCCATAGACAGAGAGAATAGCAGGAAGCCAAGTTCAGAGGCACAGCTCTTAAGCGTGTATCCCAAGATTCGAAGTCCTCGCGAATGTCTGGAAAATTTGAAAATTCTGAAGATCCTAAATACTCTAAGAGTCACAAAAGCTCCACTTATCGAATTGTCAGGCATAAATAGGCCAACATAGAATGGTAGTATAGCAACAACGTCGATAATGCTCATCAGATCTCGAGCAAATTTACATCGATCAGGCGCGGCGTATAAGCGGGCTAAATATTCAATGGTAAAAACTACAACACAGGCTGTTTCGAGCCCAAAGAAAATACTTTTATTGACTTCTCCAATGTTTCCACCATCCGCGGGTAGAGTTTCGACTACCGTGCTAATGACGCTCACAGCTATGAAAAAGCCCGTGATGTAATAAGCCAAAGAAGCCAGGGGACCGCTTTGTGGATTTTGAAAAGCAGTCCACATCTTCTCTCGGAAAGTCGAGTCAGTGTTCTCGTCTCCATTCTGTGATCCACCGTCTTCCAGTTTATCAGGCTCAAAAATTCTTTCTTCGCATTCTTTCTTCCTCTCTCGAAAATCTTCCCAGCAACAATCGTACACAACATCTTCGGAAATGCCGAAGAAGCAGAGTTCGTCCTCGAAAGACTGCACGCACTCTCCTCGCGGGTAATGCAGTTTTCCATTGCGATAATAATTCAAAACATGCCGGAAAAGGTCGGGATCTCGATCAAAAAAGTATTCCTTTGTTTCCGAATCGAAAAAATAGTCTTTTTCGTCACTGCCTAGGAGAGTTTCCGGGAAACGGGACAATGTGTTTTGCCAAGTTTCAAATCGGCGTCCGCTAACGTTAATGGTGACTCGTTCGTCGTTTTTCTGTGTCTCTGGCGGCGGCGGCATCGGAGATGTAGCCAGAGGGACCCATCCTACAGCAGCCGCTCTTGCAAACGGCAACCACGCGCCTACATCCGTAGCCATGAGGAATTCGGAACGCCTCACATAGATAGAACAGATTCAAGTTCACATGCAAGTAGAGCATCTACTTCGGGCCGACAAGCGGCAGGTGAAAAACGGATGTCGCTTTACTGACAAACAACCACCTTAATTTATGCCAACGCTTGCATGGCCGTCGATGGAGCTTATTGCAACATTTGCTTCGAAAGAGGCAGCTATTCAGGCTATTATCGGCCCGTGAAGCGTGTCGATCCGAGCACGTTGCTCGAGAGTAATTTCGATCAAACGTTCGATCGAAACGTGGGAACAAATTGCTTTTCAAATCAATCAAATGTTTTGCTCGCGGGGCTCAAATTGGAACGGGTTGTGAGAAGCCAAAAGCGTGAAATTACGTTAATCCGGGTATTGTCTTTTCAAGAACGAAACACTAGGTTCCTTAAATGGACGCAGCTTTAAGGCTAGCAGCCATTGTGCTCTCTCACCAGCTAGCCGTAACAAAGAAACCAAAAACTGCTTAACAGGACGTTTTCACCAGGCGCTGGATTTGATGTTGTTTTAAATTCTTGTTACGCGACTTGGGTAAGACTTGGCTAATTGCAAAGGATATTGTTAATTAGCATTGGATTAAACAAATTTAAAGTCCGCAACCAATGAATTTCAAGGAAGACCACTGCGTGTTTGATTGTTTATGAAAAACTGACAGGGTTTCTTTTGTGCACCTGTCAAATATTCGCGGCAAATTTGCAATCGAACAAAACGGTTTAAAGAGTGAAAAAGATTCTACTTCATATTTTTAGGCATAAAGTATCTTTTCTCCGAAAAATAAAAAAAAATTGTTCTCGGTCATTTTAAATTATAGAAAATGAATGTAATGGAAATTTCTGCGAACAATTTGCGAATTAGCAAGACCTTTCGTGGTTTGGCTGGATTTTGTCTTCTACTGCAATCCAGGCTTAACAGTGCTAAATAAATAATGGCAAAACATTTTGTCGAAACCAAATAGAATATATATATTTGAAAATATAATTCCATGGGAGAATCCTCCCTTTTGTATTTTTGTATCGGTCGCTAATCAATGGGAGTAAATTCGCCTAAATTCAATTACCGGAGATTCATCGTGGGGAAATTTGAAAAGGAATGTTGAAGTTGAACCCCCTATAAAAATTTTATTTTAGTGGTATTTTTTTATGAATAGCTTATTCATCTTTTACGTTTTCTATTTTAGTACAAAGAGTCCAGTCCGGTGAATTTTGATTGTTATTCTTTTTAATCCTTTCTTCGCTTGAGGTATTTAGCAAAACTGCCCTTTTTTGTTAGATAAAAAAGGACAACTTGTTTACTGATTTTTATAACGGTTTGCATGTAAATAGCTTCTGATGAAGTGTTTAGCATTCAGCATAATTTGAGGGGAGTTATATACATCGAACGTTTGGCTTTTATACAAAACCAACAATAATATTTAGCATCTCGGCGAAGCTCAGTTAAAGTTAGATAAAAAAAAATAAAAATAAAATAAAATGAAGAATAACAAAATAACACAAACTTGTGAAGTCATGTTAATAAATTTGAAATTAAGTTACATCTTAAACATCTCGTTTGCTTGTCAAACATTTGAGAGATCTGAATTTTTTTTACTATTCTCAAGCGTTAATCGTGAAAATGACAAGTGTGATATTTCAATTTTGTATGTTAAAAGATGCATTTTGATGGCTCTTAAAAGTCATTTAACGTCTTAAGCGTTTTTGTCAATTCCAAGATAATACAGAATCGGCAAACACAAAAGAAGAGATTACTGTTCTTTTTCGCAACTCGAAGATTTTCTTGTATGTTTGTTTTGTCTCGTTTTTTGGCATAATAAGTCCGTTGTCTTTTCAGTATTTTATCAGCTAAAATTTTGACTTAAGATGGTAATTAGTACTTCATGTATAACGTACAAATTAAAGTCTCCACCACATTCATTATGGTATAATTTGTTTTCAAAGTTTTGCTGCGTAGAAAGAAACATGTGGTTGTCCGCAACGGCTTGAAATTGATACGTTTGTTTTGCGGGCGAAACCCATAATCATATAATCACTATAGAGGCTAATAATATGAGAAATTTTTTAAAAAAACAAGTTGATTTCTTCCATCGTGTCGCTGTTGAAGTTTTATTTTCAAACACGTGCGTCCTTAAGTGTTAATTAATGTGTATTGCAACATACTACGGAACTAAATATGTGACAGCGAAGAAAAATTTTATCTCGTAGCTCGCGGGCAATCACGTAGAGAAACAATTTTCCCTGCTGTTAATGACGACTTGACAGTGACAAAAATAAATAACAAAAAGAAAAACATCAAAAAACGCACTTTATACGCCCATTTTTAAATACTTAACTTTCGACTAGCTTATGCACATATGACTGTCGTGTAAAAATTGTCATATTGAATATCTAACTTGAATCAAAACGTCACGAGCTGAAATTTCCTCTAAATAAAGCTGTTAATATTGAAATATTTCTTTCTTTTAATTTGAGAATACGGTCCTTGAGAAGTGACTGTGAGTAGCTCTATGATAGGTACCTGTGAAGAATCCCGTTACATTCCGTTCAGATGGGGGGGGGTCATCCAGACCCTGAGATTAGGGGGGGGGGCGCCGATCTCAAGAAAAATTTTTTTCGGCCCTTCAGGCCTCAGTTTGGTCTAAAAATAGAGGGGGCCCCTCCCTGGATCCACCGTTGCGAGTAAAAAATATCCTGTGCTTATTTTTCAACGTTTGACAAGGTGCTGAGAATAGGCTTTTGTTCATTATGCTAGCACATTTAGAAGATTATCTTTCGATTTATTAAAACCATTAACTAATAACTTTTAGTAAAATCCAACTAGTGGTCTACTATCAATGCTGCGTTCTGATTGGTTGAGCTACTACTAGGCTATATGTTATAGTCCCTAGTAGCGAAAACCGCGGGCTTTTTGGCGACAAAAAATCCTTAAAGTCTAGCTTTTAACTAGCTAAAAATTTTTTATTCTCGATATTTTTGACCAACTAGTTGGATTTTACTAAAACAATTATTCCTCGAGCCATTCGGGTTCGAGGAATAATTGTTAAGTATACGTTGTTGTTATACCACTTACACGTTTTTGCCAATAAGCGTTAAAACTAATAAATAAGCCTCTGTATTTTTAGCATAACGAAGCATTTTTATTAGCGACTTTTGGGGGAGACCGAGCATTTTAGTAAAAAAAATGGAGCAATACGGTGCAGCATTTAGTAGGGAACAGATATAAGCATAAAGTATGAAATCCTTACTAAGAAGCCCTACATTTTAACAATTTCTGTAAATTATTGCTGGGCCGGCGAAATAACCTCTATGATCAATAGCCTCTCCTGAATTGCGTTTTATATTAATTCGTGATTTTGGATAGTCACTATCCACAGAATTCGTAGAAAAAGCTTCAAATGACTCAAAAATTCAACAAAACGGGTCGCCATAATTCAAATTAGAACTGCTTGAATCGTAAGTAGCCATTTTATGATATTTGAAGAATCATCACGTAAAGACGTAAATTTGAGCGGTTTTTTCTCAATTTTAAAAAATCCTTTTTCAAACTTTTCAGTGACTAGAGAAGCTTGTCAAGAGAAGTGTTGAAATACATTTTAGCAATTTTGCTGAACTATAAATTGACGCCCATTAAGGAACTTGGTGAAGAGAATGAATTGGCTCGTTCATTGTAAGCAGTTGAAAAGTAATATTGCATTTATTTTTTGTTTTCTTTTAATTTAAATGCTTCTGTACACACAGTTGGGACAAAACGCTGTAGTGGCATTCATCTCCTGAAAGTCAACTTAGAGTTCGCCAAGAGATCTTTTTATTTTACCGTTGCGATAGAATTCAATGGTCTTCCTCACCATATTAAATCAATTAAATATCTCGCATGAAAAATTGCACCGGCCTGAATCTTGGCGAAGTTCTTTGTATAATGATTTTCCTTCTTTTATTTCCCAGATTCTGGACTTAATTTAATCTATGACATCTATTTGAGGGCTTTAATTTTTTTTTCGATGGCGTGACCGTCAGTGAAAACCAGTAACTGTGATGGGTCTGCAAATACTGTACGTGAATTTCTATCACCCAAGTGTTTCATGTTTTCAATGAAAGTGATAAACCTAACTGACAAGACATTGATTATTTTTTTTCAAAAACGTTCACTGGCCAGGTTCGATCATCTGTTTCTTAAAAACCATATCACCAACCGAACTTAAAGAATTTTCCCGAAATTAATCTAGTAACATTTGTATTGATAGTGGTGACGGATTTGTGTTCAAGACATGATAGTTCCACATAGAATCATTCTTTGATAGGTGTCTTCGACCAATTTTGTTCATTTTCATCAATAAAGATAATTCAAGAACCTCTTTTTTTAATTTTGATAAACTTTGCCCCTAGTTTGACAACCTCGTTCCCAGGGTTCTAGGATGATAAAATGTCTCAACTGTCGTTCCCAAATTAAATTGCTTCCTATCCTTTTTTCTCCTGAGATCGGTTGAGTAATTTGCCCTTGGAAACGCCGAAGCGGAAACAAAAAGTTTCTCCTGGAAATTTTAGAAACGTTCTCAGTATTTTCCAGTGGTGTCGATTACTATTGCCATGCAAGGTTTTGTTTCTGTGGATGAAATCCTAAAGTGAATCCTAATTCAAGTAAAAGCTACCGAGCAATACTTTCCTGTGGTACAGTTTATTATGCTGTACAAGGTGGTTCTAACTTAAATTTGAGTCTCCGGAAGAAATCCTCAAGTGTGACCATTCAAATAAAAGCTACTGAGCTGTACTTTCTTTTGGTGCTGTTTATTATGCTGTACAAGGTGGTTCTAACTTTTGAGTCTGTGGATGAAATCCTAAAGTTGATCATTCAAATAACAGTTCCTGAGCATCACTTTTCTGTGGTTCTTTTTATTACGTACGCTGTACGAGTTGGTTCTGGTTAAAATTCTAAAGTATGGCCACTCAAATGGAAGCTATTCTGAGGAGGACTTTCCTGTGGTGCGTTTTATTGGGCTGTCGAAGTGGTTTTATCTTTTGAGCCTGGGGACAAGACTCTAAACTTTGACCATTCCAATGCAATCTCCTGGCCCGGGTTGCTCGAAGCATGGTTAGTGCTAACCAGCGTTAAATACCATGAAAACCTATACATTTTGATACCTCTAACCAACGGTTAGCGCTAACTAGGCTTCGAGCAACTGGCCCCAGTGGGCCGTGTTGTGCAAAGCAGGGTTAAGATAACCCGGGGTTAGTGGGAAATTTGAATTCAGATATGAAAGCTTACAAGGCAAATTCAGTTTTATTCTTTTTGCCTACGATTTGACGATTGGATGCTCTAAAAAAATAGAGAAAATTATCCGGGAAAGTGCTTTTGAAGTAAAGAAAAAGAAACCC